CATGGCCTGTAGGTTCCCGATCTCCTTCTTCCATTCCGGCTCAGATGTGGAAGCCATCTTGACAGATGCTTGCCGCTTAGAAGTGTTGCTGTCATCCACCTTGGCCTGATCCACTTCTATCTCACGTAGAGCCTTGAGGAGATCGTTCAAGTTTGACGTCTGATCGAACTTGTATCCTGATTGGTTCTTCAGTTCAGGTCTCAACCCACTCCACAGCATGTTTCTGAGCATATCATCTTTCCTAGACACACTGATGTACTCCGGATTGTTCTCCAATGCCTTGGATAGAAGAAGCTCTAGACGACAACACCAGGATGAGACAGACTCCTTGTCCTTCTGCCTTGCACTATAAAAGTTAGACATCCGGCTCTCTGTCCTGTCAACCTCCCCAAACATACTCTGGAATTTGGATAGCAAAGTAGCTGTGCTTGCCTGTGGTCCAAGATTCCTGGCTATCATGGCAGCTTCTCCCTTCAGTGACCGTCGGATTACCTCATAGAGATCATCTTCAGAGAGCTTAGTCCTCTTGTTTATAAGGCATGCCACTTCATATCGCCAGTGTTCATAGTCCGCATCCTTACCAGAGTCTCCACTGAAGAACGAAAGTTTTGGTAACTGATGGTAGAACAATCGAGGATCCGGTGTAGTTGAAGCAGATGTGCCAGGCATAGGAGGAACATAGTTTGAATCCAGCCCTGAGTGTAACCGTCCAGACAACTGAGAAGCAGCGGGCAAAGTACCATCTATTGCATGGTATTCCTCTTCCTCCAAATCCTCTTGTTTGAGAGCTGCATAGGAATCGAACCAGGACTCAAACTCCTCAGGTGTATCAGCAGTAGGCTTCACATTCTTCCTACGAAACACTTCTAACATGTTTTGGATCTCCTTATCCGTAAAATCCATCGTTGACACAAAAGTGTAAAACGAAGATAATACCAAGTATAGAGAAACACAAACCACGAAATTATTTGTGACCACCAGCAACTTAATTGCTGATAAGAGGGTGTAAGAAACTAAGCTAAGATGTTTCTGTACGCAAGCGCTTGTGTAACAAGTGTGGTTACAAGTGTGGATGCAAAGTAATCAAACGAATAATGAAGCCAAGTTGTAACCTAAAAGATAACAACTTTAAACCAATCACTTACGGAACCTGAAAGAAAAAATAATGTGAAATAAAGCGTATGCTTGTTTGTTTACCTGAAAGAAAACAAATATGTATATCAACAAATTCAAGAAATAAACAACAAACACAGTGCTGTTGCGTATGTGTGCATTGCAATATGGTGAACTGTCAACGTACCGTCAAGTTACTTGTCAAGTCACTCGTCACCAAGCTTAGTTATTTATTAACTGAGCTTTATTTAAAAATAATTTGAGAAAATGTTGTTGAGGCTTAATAAGAGGAAACACAAACACACATGTCAACCATTCATCATAAATGCACAAGTAAGGCAAATAATAATGAAGCAAAGTACTAACGTATACTAACTTAACTATGAATTAAGAATACTAAGAAATGATTTGCTAACTAAACTTTTAAGAAAAGATAATTTAAACACTAAGCAGTAATGCCGTTTGAAAAACTATATGAGAAATGCAAATTACACTACTGAATTACTTTTCAACTAGAAAAAAAATCAGCTGAATTAATAACTTATTAATACCAATTTAAATGTAAACAAAATCAAATGTAAACAAACAATATGGTCGACCAAAAAAATATAAATATAAATGTAAACAAACACTTAACAAAGTTTACTTGAAGTTAATCAAAATGTAAACAAATGAAAAAATGCACTATCTATGAGCTCATAACATAATACTACAAGGCGCCAAGAAAGTCAATATGCTAGCTAGCAACAAGTAAAGTCACAATACCGCGGTATTATAGGAATGTCCAATAACACAAACATAAGTGACGAATCCTGGGTGTGTGTGAGGGGGTGAAGACATCACGTGACGATCGTAGACCCGGGGTGTTGTATCTCGCTAGGCAGAGGCAGTGTCCATCGCTGAAACTTTTTCAAGTCCACAAATCACTGGGGGCTCCATTTTGTAGCAGGGTCACAATGACGACACGCAAAGTGAATGCAGGGTTGTAAGTTCTGTTTATTCCAAGTGGATGTAGATTTCAACATACACGATAAACCCTGAAACAATTGTAGCAACAATATAATAACAATATAATAACAATGTTCGGCATGCTTGCAGAACATACATTGACATCTATTTATATATATTCAGTATATTAACATTATAAATGTTAATAGAGCTTGAATGCATGAGCGCCGACAATATTATCTGTACATTAAAACATTACGGAAATATAATGATCGCCGAGGGATTGAACTTTACAAAGATCAGGGGCGATAACTCATGACATGACTTAAACAAAGCCATAAATGATATCGGCGGCAATCACCGCACAGCATACACTATTTACCTTAGAAGGTTAATATAAAGGAACGATGATTCTGTATGCTAGAATGATATATACACATGATATAAACAGTATTGTACGGCACATTACATACCCTATGTATGGCACAGGGGCCCGTGTTTATGCCTGGCCGCCATAGCAGACGATGGAATAATGTGTGCTGGAAATAAGATAGATTGCGATCAAAAACCAAACAGATTCAGTGTAAACTGTCCATGCAGACATAACAATAAGCATGGAAAGATATATTTTATACACTGTAAAATCTTAGATTGAGACACTTTGCCATTATTTGTGCAAAATGCAATAATAATAATTAGACAACATTCATACACAAAGCATACTCACAATGCCTCGCTTTGAAGTTATTTAATGCTGTTTATGTTTAAAAGGGAATATATGATACACATTAAAATGGGAGCTTTGCGTTTACCTGCCGTGCCGATTACAAGACATGTTAACTACCCTGACGGCATTAATTACCCTTATTAATATACGCTATGTGTTTAAGATTACTTATTGAATGACTGCTACATTAGATATGCATAAACATTATTTAAGATAGTTAGTTTACTAACCTGATGAAAATTAAGTTGACGCCTATGCTTGTCTGTCTCTCACACAAGTTTTGTCAGTTGTGTCAGGGTGCGAGGTGTTCAGGCATAGAAAAAGCATGCAGGTTTGAATGGACCAATCGTAACGTGTTGTCACGGTTGGGTAGACACTATTGGTTGTGTTACTAAAACTAAGCGATTAACTATATGAATTGTTTCAGCGCTGATATGAGCTGAAATCAAGAAACTTATTTAAAATACATGAATTGTTAACTATTTCATTTCAGTCACTGTAGTGAGTTGAAACAAAGCAATATATTAAAATACATATTTACATTGCATATATCAGCGCCTACTGGATGCTGAAATAAAGACAGAGAATTAATGATTATTTACAATACTTTAAAGCTAACTGGCGCAAACTAATCCTAACACTCAGACATACAAAGTATGTCCCTGCAACACGTATGTCAAACTATTGAACAAATTTTCCATCTCTTGGCTCATCAAATTGTCTTTCACAGCTGATTTGACCTGAAAAGGTGCTAAGCTGTCTACTTATTTTCTAACAGAAGGAACTAAGAGATTGGCGCTGAATGAGTTCAAAGTCACACGTCTGTCCTTTAGCCATGGGAATAATTGGTTTGTTCTCTGGCTCGTTTTTGTGATGGAAGGGTACACTTTCTCTCAACGTCCGACGGAACTTAGATCATTTTTATCTCATTTTAGTGACATATGTGTGGCTCAACCAGATTCTATAGTATACAGCCGAACGTCATATGACTGGCATATTGCTTACTGTGCTGTTACATGTAAATACCAGTTACTATCAGGTTAAGGATGTTGGGGAAACCCAAACACTATGACTCATACTGTTGTTCAAGAACATTAGAATACAGTATTTTATTGACTGTAAGCACATATACTGAACATCATTGAAAACGCACCACTTATAAAATTTCAGATTATTAAAAGCACGTGTAAGGAATTGATATGTTTTAAGTGGATGATAACAGATGGACGACTGACAAAAACAACAAAAACAGAGAAGACGCTCATTCATTGAAATGTTCCACAGTCAGAAAGGATCAAACACACGTGGGGTCAAATCGAAAAGTCAATTTCGCGTGTGACCGTCATTTGCATTGACACATGCAGTTCAACGTCTCCTCATTGAGTCAATAAGCGCCCGAATAGAGTTCTTGAGGATGGCATTCCACATCTGCAGTAGTGCACTTGAACTAGTGCAGCAGTCCTGACAGTCGGCAGTGTTCAATCACTGATATGCACAAGGTCAATATGGCGATCCTGATGGAGCGTCGTAACACGTTGTTGCCAAGGTCACGGGTGCTGTCTGTCTACTGATGTCGTCTGTGAAGCCTAACGATGGTGGAGTGGCCAAGTCCAAGTTGTCAAGCAATATCCCTGCTGCTGGTGCCAACCTGAATCATGCCTAGTGCACGTTCTCTTTCGTGAGGTGTTAACCTCGGCATCTCTATCCTCGTTTCACAATCGTAAGTGAAGCAATGGGAATCGGTTCTCATACACCTGCTTTTAATGTCACAGTCAGTATGATTTCAGAATGAAATCCGCGCTTTTGTCATGGCGTGGCTGCATGTTGATGCGTTTTGGAATTAAGAGTCATACTGTGAACAGGAATTTGTTTCTAAAGCATTTTTTCAACTGGACATGCCCTTCGACTTCATGTTAGTTATATTCATTGATCATTGTCATGCTGAAATCCATCTTGATGAAAATATGGACAATTGTAGACTGGTTCGTTTTCAATGATGTTCAATATATTAAGTCATATAATCACAGGCGACAACAGTCCCTGCAGCATCGGGCTATTTACTTTCTTCATACGTTGACTACAGACTGAATACATACTGAAGCAATCGACGCATCAATTTTTGTCATTTAAAAGCAAACATTTGAAATGGTAATTACTCTTGAGGCATTCCCTCAGACAGTGAGGAGATGTCGACCCCCTGACGCATTCCTTCCTATACACAAAACACCAGCAGGGACATGAGAGCCAGAAGCAGGAACACCACGAACAAGACGCGTTCTCTTCGACGGGCGTTCAGTGCAGACTTTACACAAGGATTTACAGGTCTGTTCGTGTCTACCTTTACATTCGCAGGCTTTACACTCGTCGTGGACTCGTCGTGGCCATTGTTGCGGATATTGAGAGAGGCCATGGTTGTGATGATAGTCAGGCAGCTCAGACAGAGAACGAGGGTCAGGTACACAGATAGTCGACACACGTCTCCAGATTTGGGGATAGAGTCATTGACGAAGTTCATGAACACTGCATAGAACACAAATATTGAGATGAGGTACGACATCATCTCTCCGGAGTCAGCTGGTAGAAGGAACACACAGGCGTTGAGCAGCGAGAGAAGAGTCATGGGAAAGATGATACTCACAATATAGAACATGCTCTTGCGTTTCAGGACAAATTCAAACGATGTAATACTTGATATCCCTGTCATTTCGACGACTTCCACTTTGGCAAGTATGTCAACCAACTCCCATTCACTGTTCTCAATGAAGAAAGTTGGTAGTCCCTCCATGAAAGAAGTCGTAGATACTCCAAGTGTGTAATCACCGACAGGCAAGAACAGGATGCTACATCTCTGCTGGTCAAACGGGTACAGAGTGATGTCTATTTCACAACTGGTCTTGAAATTCTCAAGGATTAGGAGTTTTACTCTTCCATTACTCTGAATGTTTGGTGATTGTACTGAAGCCGGCACAACGTTATCAATACCATTAGAAATGACAATGGAAGGAACCCACACTCTGTTTGAAGAAATGGTCACGTTTTTAATGTTACCAAATTTAGCTGTTTTCCAAGCCAGTCTTTTGTCAAACCAGCTCATTGTAACAGCGGCACTAAAGTGAACGTCTGATCGGCTGCATTGAGACTGGAGATAGACACTGGCGCCATACTTATGTTCACCTCTCTGTGTTCAGTGAGGTCAACACGAATACCATTTGCTGTGTCCCCGTAGAGATATGCCCTCAGTCTTTGTAATGATGCCTTTGAGGCACGTTTAGCACTGGCGTAGGACAAGATGACAAGTAAACACAACGTTAAAGCTGTCAGGCAAAACATGATGTCAGTGTACAGTGGCGATGCTCAGAATGATATGTGTTGATATGTGTTATTTCAATTCCGATGTTGCTTAGGTTACGGCAGTGGTTGTGATTGGATCGTACACTACCCATTGGCTGGAATGTTCAATCTCACGGAACCATAAAACAGGAAATTAAACTCCAGGAGGTTTGAACACATTTTTTAATTATATTTAAGAGCTTCATAAACATGTTGACGTTCCTGTAATAATACCCGTCCTTCTACAAGCAGAGGGCTATCACTTTACATTGAATCATTCACTTATGCACAAATACTGGTTATGTCATGGGAATACAGGCATGAAAGCTTTTGAGGCAAAAACTCCTACACACGGGAAGATTCATCTGTAGTTGTCGTTAGTTGTCTTGCTGTCGTGTACACTTCTTCGTGCCTTTGTATACACAAACGTAAACGTTTCACATTCAGTCAGATGATGACTTAAAGGTAGAGTTAGGAAGGTTTGCTCGTCCCAAGGTTGCTTTAGAAGAGAGAATTTGTCACTACTGTAATGCTAACAGTGTAGAAGACGAGGGCCATTTTCTCGTCGTTTGCCCGTTATATTCACGCTTAAGGTATGAACTCTGGCTGAAAATAATCAGATCAGATCCCTCTTTCATCCAGCTCAGACCAGTTAACCAGCTCATCTATCTTATGACTTCAAGTGTATTATGCAAGCCGCTTGCCTCACTTATATCTCTAAATTATTGTCCTCCTGAGAGGGTACGTAAGTCCCAAAACATTCAAAGTCAATTCAAATCTATCCAACCTTTTTAATCGTAGAATATGTGTTTTTTTAATGTATGGCTAGATGTGTCTAAATTGCTAATAGCTGAAGGGATGGTGTAAATCCAGCTAGGGTCCATGCAGGAAGCAAATGTACTATAAGTCCCCTTGGTCCCTCTTATGGTGAACTACCTTCAGTTGTTGGCAATCTATAGCCTGTTTTTACATTGTCTTGTTATTTCTTGTTAAAGTGTTTTAGATTTAATTACTAGTTTTAGATGGATATCTGTGATATACTAGTAGTTTTACTGTTCTTCGTCAACAGGCTTTTAACTTCTAATTTTACTGATATATGATATAATAATTAATTGTTCTCGTCACGATATGGCTGAAATATTGCCCATGTGACGATAAATAATAACTCACTCATTCACTCATTCACTCACTCACCTATATCTGTGATGTTTTGGCGTAGACAACTTATTAAGCCCTAGTCGCGTTCTCTCGCCTCCACAGATCACCCTGTGTCACTCCCTCTTATTATATTCTATTTTAATCATATAATGTGTACATGTATTTCAATGACAATAATTATTGTCTCGTAAGCCTTGATGGCCGGGTGCTCACTTTACTGTATGTACAATATATTTTATGTACTTTTATTGATGATTTTATTGTAGAGCATGTGACCCTGAAATAAACTATTTTCTTCTTCTTCTTAAAAAAGCCCAAATGGGCTTCATTGCATGAACCCTGTGATCTGTGACATCGACGCAATGTGTAGAACACAGACCGCAAGGCCGATGCACCAAAATACAGTCGATGTTATCTTGGAGCTGGAACAGGCCATTGCTTCATTAGTTCAGCACAACTCCAACACCATTCGGCTTGGAACGTCGTAACACAGACACATGTCGTGTTGATGGTAAGAGGAAGTTGCTGAAGATGAAGGTCTGTCATTTAAACATGAAACATTATACAAGCCCGATGAGTGATTGAACTATTTAAGAGGACTGATTATAAAATGCGACGAGCCCTCACTTTAAGAGAAGTGCTAGTTGAATCCCTGGTCTGTACATTTCTTGCAGATTCGTTGCTTAAAACTAGTCTTTGGCTTTTGGTACCTGATGCGTCATATGATAATGCATCTTTCGGGTCTAGTGCATCTCTAGCCTGTGCCATGGTTCCTAGTATGGTGATCTACCTTCAGTTGTTGGCAATCTATAGCCCGTGTTTTATTTTGCATTGTCTTCTTTAATTAAAATGTTTTAGTTTGACATGCTAGTTTTATGTTCATATCTGTGATACTCTAGTATTTTTAATGTCCATCGTTGACAGGTTTTACTCTCCAAAATGTTTGGCACCCGTGAAGAGCCCCCTCCTCGTGGTGGGTGCTGGGTAACGCTAAGCGCTCTTCGACCCCCCGTTGTGGACCCGGGGGGATATTTGGTCCACCAACCCGTTTGCCGTGGGTTGCGCCCCTGTGTCGGTGGAGGAAGGGATTCTGGTGGTTGAGGGCACTGGTTCCAGGAACAGTGTTCCTTTTGCCCAACACACCACTTCGGCCCTTACTTCACCTAGACGGGTGGTAGAATGGGCCCGATTCCACCAATCGGCTGGTCATGCCAAGCCCTGTGCATGTATATTGTGCTGCACAAATATATTATATTGTTAAATTTTTCTATCAAATGTCTTGGCTTTATGATGTTTCCTTCGAAATTCAAATTAGAACTTTCATTCTATAAATTGCCTAGAGTCTTATGCCCAGAAGGCGGTGGCTCATGGGCCAATCTCGTGGAGTAATTATTTATAATTCTTCTGCTTGAGTATATCATCCAAGTATCCTTGGTGCTGCAAGTCGGAAATCCACTTGTTTTTAGCATTGTCTATATGATACTCCGTGGTGGGTGGGGAGCTTGGATGACGAACCAATATTACAACAACCATGGATTATCAAACCCCTAACAAAAAAAAATCAAACGTCCACTTGAAAACGATGATCAGCAACGACCCTCCATATCTATCGATTATTGGCCACGATTTTTGGTTATCGAGACTCTCGACAAGACTCCATTAAAACTAAACCCTTTTGCAATTTCTAAAGGTGTCTCTGGAATAGCAGGAGAAGTTAAAAACATCAAACGCTTGCGTACAGGATCGCTGTTAATCGAATGTAACAGAAAACAACAAGCAACCAACCTGCTATCAATTGATGTGTTCATTGGAGTCCCGGTTCTGGTGTCAGCTCACAGAACGTTAAACACCAGCAAAGGTATTGTTAGAGATCGAGATCATCTATTTGCAGACATGACTGAGCTCGATATTGTATCCGAGATGAAAGACCAAGGAGTTTCATTCGTCAAAAGGTTTACAACCAGGAAAAATAATGAGATTGTTCAAACAAACACCTACCTTTTTCATTTTCTGCACCAATTCCTCCAAAGTCAGTCAAGGCAGGTTATTGCAATCTGAACGTTGATGTATTCATTCCAAACCCTCTGCGCTGCTTCAAGTGTCAGAAATACGGACATGGTGTTAATACTTGCACATTGTCTGTTACATGTGCTCACTGTGCTGAGAATACACATGTAACAGAAGATTGTGATAGTATTTCTAAAAAATGTGCAAACTGTTCGGGACCTCATTCGTCTTTTTCTAAAGAATGTCCCATTTGGAAAAAGCAAATGGAAATTAACAGAGTCAAATTTTCCAGAAACGTCAGTTTTGCAGAAGCAAAAAAATTGTACAGTCCACTGAACTCACTGAGACTTACGCCTCCGTCACTAAAACTCCTGAAACGTCCTCAAAAGGAACTACTTCACCAGTAATCACTTCATCAAGCTCATGTCAGACTGACTTGACATGGGTGAATACAGAACATCCCAAATCTATCTTTCCTGAACAGTCCACTCAGACAACACCACCTTCTACGCAGCAAAACGTATCTCCTACCCTTCTCAGTCTCGATCTCAGTGTGAAAAGAAGAATGAAAAACAAATAGTAAAATCGAAAACCAAAACAAGAACAGAACCTTCGAAACCAACTCGAGCTCCTAAAGGGTCAGATGATAAGATCAAATTGTTTAATAGGTTTGGATCAATGGAGGATATGGAAGTGTCTGACACCATCCATTCCAGGGCACATAGCTTGTCGCCCTCAAAAAACCGTGCGGGGTAGATCCCCAGTCAACCCACCAAAAAGATAATGTATTCCAAAAATATAGTACAGTGGAATTGTAGAGGATTAAGGACTAATTTTAATGAGTTACATCTATTAGTCCAAGATCTTGCACCATCCGCATTCTGTCTGCAGGAAACATATTTAAAACAGACAGATACTTTTAATCTACGTCAGTTTGATGCGTATCATTATTTCTCACCTCCGGGTGACAGGGCCACTGGAGGGTCTTCAATCCTTGTAAAGCATGACGTTATCCATAGTCCTGTTACACTCACAACTAGTCTCCAAGCTGTTGCTGTGAGACTAACTCTTCACGTTACCTTTACACTATGCTCTCTATATATTCCGCCTTCTTCAACACTCCAGCAGTCTGATCTTCAAGCTCTCTATGACCAACTTCCTAAACCTTGTAATATAATGGGTGATCTTAATGGCCATAACCCGATCTGG